TGTTCACTCGTGTTCTGACTCGTGTGGTCTTTTAGAATAGATCGTTATATAGACGTTTTGTAGCCTTGTTGGTTGTTTGTTTCGGCCATACAAACTACGACAATAATACAAAGTCAAAGGTTTCCTTTCTCGATTGAATCCAGCATCTTTTGCTTTGAATATCATGTTATATTTTCTCAGAAGTATTTTTTTCAACTTTCAAGCTCAGTTTTATAGATATATTTTCGAAAAAAGCCGTAATATTCACGAAAAAAAAATGCCATAGCCGACAGCAAAAAAAACATTTTGTCTTTTTTCCCGCGTTTTGTTCCCGTTTCCTAGGATACGAGGCCTCATCACGATTTATGAATAAGGTCTATTTTTCCCTACATATAGTAATCGTTTACAGAAAGTTTTAAGCCCTACACCGAGATTCACAGAAATAATTGAAAAAGACATTTTCCTCTTCGATCTGCTTCGGCCTACACTTAAAAACACACACGTTGTAACAAACCTGCAGCAGACTTGTAGCAATGCGGTTGCAACAAGTTGTCAACAGAATGTGTTCGCATGCTCTGCTTGTTCCCGGCTTGTTTACAATTTGTCAACGGCTTATTGGCAACTTACTACAAGTTTGTTGAGCTCAACAGAATTGCTACAAATTGTTCCAGCAACTTGTTATCGTTCTGCAATTCAACAATTTGTCAACAAGTTATGAGTGACAACCGTGTAGCAAATTGATGAAATAACAACATCGTTACAACTTATTGTTGGCAAGCTTGCTACAAGCCTGTTGCAAACACATCTTGTTGACGAGTTGTGAGATTTTTACGTGTGTACGACTATTGTATAAGAAGTATAAGAATGACTATAGCATTCACCACTTTACTTAAAGAAATGTCGTTATCGACTCCTATTTAGGTATCCCAGTTTTTGTTGTGCCGGTGTTGGTTGGAGTAAATGATCCAGAGGATTTTATAACCAAGGGTGCTTGTTGGTGTGGTGGCGATGGTGTGTTGTTCTGGGTTTTTGTCGGTACTTTAGGTCTAATCATACTGGTAAGCTTTTTTCAAACGTCATAACAATTTTTAGTGCGGCAGAGTCAAGTATACAAATACAGTGTGCTCTACAGGTACGGTGGTCCCATGTAACGAACGTACACCTTTGGAACTACGGCGTCCGATCGCATTTGCTAACAAAAAGATTTGGTGTCTGCGTGTTGACTACTCAATTCCACGTTGTTTTGGGACATACAAATGCCTTGACGAGAATCGTTTTCGAAAACGCCCTAATTTAAAACGAATAACGCGTTCCTGTGTTTAACGTTCAACAAAAAATGACTCAATAAAGAAGGGGAAAACCAAGATGATATGAGGATTAATTTTTGGTATATTTATCTTTTCTTGCATACGGAGCCGATTCTTTTTGGGTGTGTCACTCTAAAGTTTGCCCAATAAATTTAATTTAATATAGTTTGTGATAAATTTGCCCAACTTATCTTGACTTTTATCAACATTTTGACCAATTTTCTTGTTAATTACTAAATAACTTTTGTTAAAGGCAATTGTCTACCCTGTCTCTTTGTCTCGTACGCAATGTTTATCTTCAGTTATTTTTTAGGTCAATGTAGTCATCTTTATTCTAGCCTTAAGAAATGCTTTATCCACCTGGGCAAGTACTTCAACCCGTACACAAGGCAGCGAAACAACTACAAAGGCAACGGTTTGTACCAAGTTGAGAAAAGCAAAAATTGGTCTCAAAGGTTCAGCTGTACTACTGCCAATACTTGGACTCACTTGGGTGTTTGGTTTACTGGTTTTCAATCGAGATGCAACTGTGTTTAAATATCTATTCGCCATCTTTAACTCTCTACAAGGACTGATGATATTTCTTTTTCATGTGCTTATAAATAAAAAGGTATGCTTTTGAAACAATATATTTAATATAATTACTTTGTTCCAAGTAAAAAGATCCCTCACAAGAACTTATTTCTTGCATGCCTATTTCCCAATAATAATACTTACGAACAGTAACAAAGTGCATTTAATCACTTTGTTACTAGCCGCGAGACTAATTACCAGTGGGTCTGTGGTTTGTATTTATGATTTTTTTTATCTTTTTCAACCACTGGACAAACGTTTGGTAATGGGAATACTAAAGTAATCTCCTTAGGTTTCTTAAATTTTAAGGGAAGCGAACATGTATGGGGGCTGGGGAACATACTCCTAAGACTTCTAAAAATGTAACATATACTATATCTTTTCTTAATAGATTCACGAAGAAATCAGCAGAGAAAGGAAAGCTCGCAATGCTGGGCCACCTACCAAGACCAAGAGCATGCCAGATACCGCATGTAAGTACAAAACCAAACCTTTCAAGGCACGTAGGATGGTTCTTACACTTAGGGAGAGGGGGGAATTCTAAAATTTGTAGCCCCTAGATCGTCAAAAATGGCATTCTAAAGACTTTTTTACATCTTTCGTTAGACCTTTTCATTAATTATTTCATAATGATTTGTGATTCTACGCTATCCGTGAGTTAGGATGGATTATTATTATTAATTTGCCGATCATGATCAGCGCAAATCAAGTTTTTTTTGTTTTTTTTTTGGGGGGGGGAGGGAACTATTTCGGTCCCGCTTTATAAAGTATTGGGTCGACGAAGCCGAGGGAATTATTGAGATTTGAGGGGAAACAAAACTATTTCCCGAGGGAACAAACATTAAGTGTTTTATAATAGTTTTGTTTGTGGAAACACCACGTAAATTTATTACTACAAAGCTTTCGATCCGTAAGCCCGGATCTTCATCAGTGCTAATAATATGTGACATCCGGGCTTACGGATCAAAAGCTTTGCAGTAATAAATTTACGTGGTGTTTCCACAAACAAAACTATCATATGTTTTATCGCCATGCAAACATACAAAGAACTTATTAAATGTTTTGTTGTAATTATAGCGGCAAAAGAAAAATCTAGCCTCTTCCGCAGACATCTCACCTGAGGAAATCAAAATTCATTCCGGCCATTCGCAGGCTAAAACCATAGATATAGGAGAACTAGATTGCTGACTGTAATGTATTCTATAACGCACGCGACGCGCCAACATGAGCATTCAAAATGGCGGCTCAACCGGTCAAAAATCATAGAGCGAGATAGGGAAAAACCATGTTTTTCGCATTTTACGCCTGCCTACTGTTTCCGATCCCGTTCAACCACCTTTTTTGGGGAAGAACTAACTGGTGTGAAGGTTTTGGATGAATATTTGTACAATTTAAGTTGAATAAAGACGAAATAATCGATCGCTAAATGTTTTCTGAAAATCATCACATGGTCGGTTGAGCAGTTCGAGACATTTTATTGCAGAAATTAAAGGTTTTGGTTCTTTGGGTGCTTTTTTTCTCGAGGATCTCGGTTGGGATATATAACAGGGAATAATATTGTGAAGTATTTTGAAGTTTAAAACCTATTTTGCTTGATTTACCTGGTCTGCTGGTGCGAAAACTATGATGCTCTGTTTACAAGTGTTTTAGTGTGACTTTGATGACCTTGCTGCTGCAGATGTCAAGGGATCTCAAGTCTATATAGCCTGGACAGTGAAATGTGATGAATCAAACAGGATTTTAAAGAGAACTAGTGACAGCAAACGTTTTCAATGGAAACTATTTTGAAGAAACTGGCTAATTTGTCTAGTATGCATCAAAAAAATTCACAGTATATCTACACTGTAAATCTCGCGGTGTTGCGGCAACACCAAAAAGGTGTAACATTACACTAATTAGGTGTAATGTGGAATTAAACACCGTTTGAGTGTAACATTACACTTCCACAGTGTAACTTTACACTATTTTAGTGTCTCGGTAACACTTACTAGGTGTAAAGTAGAAAATATTCTATTTACACCTAATTCGGTGTAGATTTACATTAGAACGGTGTAACATTACCTCTTTCCCTGTTAATTTACACCTTGCGATAGTGTAAATATACACTTATTCGGTGTAAAGTATACCAACACTTGCGAAGTGTAAATTTACACTTTTCCTGGTGTATCATTACACCTAGAACGCGTTAAAATACATGGCGCTGACGTGAAGTAGAAACTAATGTATTAACTATTATTGCAGTGTAAATTTACCCTTAACAAGTGTAAATTTACCCAATTCTTGTGTATGGGATAACACCATGATAGTGTAAATATACACCGGAGTGGCGTAAAAATTATGAATGCTTACTTAGTGTAAATCTACACTGAACCTGGTGTATAATTACACTAAGACTATTTTAAGATATAGTTCTCTCCAAGAAACCTGATTGATTCATCATTGATATAAATCAAAAATAGATGGGACAGCATATTCTTTCAGCGATTTCTTGGATTGGCTTTTTATTAATTGCTTTCCCTTAGCTACTAACCCAGCAGTAAGCACTCTCCCCTTGACAAGTAAAATTATCTGGTGTTAGAGTAAAATAATAAAGTAGGGTGCAATTTAATGGGTTAACCGGACCCATGGCCAGTTAACCCATTACGTACCAACACTCTCCGCTTGACAAGTAAAATCATCTGCCGTAATGCTGTTAGACAAAATAAAATAATAAAGCAGGGCACGTCAGGGCACAATGCGACTTAATGGGTTAATATAGTTGTTGGGTGTAAGTTGTTTCTCACACAATACTGAATATTTGGTTGGCATCCAGTCTGGCCATTTCATTGCTGTTATCCAACTTTTTAGCCGGCTGGGATTGGTTATAGGAAATCTAAATAGTGTGAAGGGAAATATGTATTTTTGGTTCACTGATGTGAACAAAACTCATTTTTTTTTACCTTCAACAGGCAAGGACCTCTATGAAAGTTATTGTCAACATGCATATAATATATTTATAGACTCCTAACACAGACACCAAAACAAGAAGTTCTTTTGGTCTAATGTTCTTTTACTAAAACTGTAAACAGTTTTATATTGTAGGCAACAAGCTCAAAACTACATTTGGTGTCATTATTGTATTTACAAAACAAATTATTTTTATGCTATTAAAAGCTGTCTTATTTTAATAGTCTTGTACTATTCTGTTTATATGAAGTATGTTATAGAGTACAAATATACGATGTGTGTTTCATACTTTGACTTACTTCTGGAAGGACAAGCGAATACCATCTTTTAAATCCCCACGTCTAACCTTGCAGTTACACTCAGCACACAAAACAGGCCGAGATTCAAGGCATTCTTTTATAGAAAAACAGATTTTTTAGAATAGAATGCCCTAGAATTTTCAGATGAAAATACTGTATTTTCGTTGAAATAACAATGAAAGAACAAAATAAATAATAGTAACTTTTGGAATAATCAGATATATGTTACATTACTTTAGAAAAACTGGTAAAAGACTGAAGGAATACACAGGATAAGAAACCAGGCCTGCAGTTTCGCGCCATTTTCGTCTTTGCCCATTCTTGCCCGGTTGAATTTTAAACTGTAAATCGTACTAATTATGACAAATATACATCCAAAACTTTCACACCAGTTAGTTCTTCCAAAAAAAGGTGGTTCAACGGGATCGGAAAGAGTAGGACGACGTAAAATGCAAAAAACATGGTTTTTCCCTATCTCGCTCTATGATTTTTGACCGGTTGAGCCGCCATCTTGGATTTTCAAATTTGGCGCGCCTCTTCAGCCGAGTCAGCAATCTAGGTCTCCTATATCTATGGCTAAAACCCATAGAGAGGCCTGCGGAGGAAGCTAAGAAAAATCAAAAACATTCTTACAACAATCGCATTTCATGACAAAAACTCAGTCTATAGTGTAAACGAGTTTAAAATTAAAAGAACCAACTGAAAGTTTCAGCGGCATATCGTGTTGCCTGATGAGTATTTTTCTTCTCTTTTACATTCTTTATTTGAAACTAGTTTATAAACTTGCGAGTTGCATGCCTCCATTTTGTTTATTTATGTACGTAGCCGGTCGTAACTTGTTGCCGGCGGGATAAATTGCATTTATCTACAGCCACGTGACCACAAATCAGTCATTCACGTTTGGTGTTAACCCTAGCTATATATAAATTAATCTTATGTTACTTGATTGACTATTACAGCGCACCTACCTGGTAACGAAACTTCTTTATATTATTGTCCAAATATTGTGAAAGCTAATAAACTACAAGCTATGACGTGGATGAGGTTGAGCTCCAGGATATCAGAATTATTCAGACCGAGATCAGCGTAATTATCTGCTGAAGCGAAGCTGAGGCAGATAACGTTGACCGAGGTCTGAATAATTCTGTTATCCTGCGTAAGCCGAATTCAATAATTCTTTTATTATTCAAAGTCATTAAATTTTCAGAATAATTTGTCTTAACCTATTTTTTAATTTGCTCTGTTGAAACCGAAGCAAAACGAGCAGAAGCAGCAGAAGCAGCAGAAGCCATTGTCAAAACAAAATAATTTTACAAAATTTCCCGTTTTTTTCCAATTCATGCAAACTACCGCTGCAAAAATAGCGGGCACCTACACAGTCAGTTGGATAACTGAAGGTTAAGGATATAGTTACATTTAAAATTAAATTGAAATACGGAAGAAATTTCTAGAAACATCTGATTTATACCCAATTTTATCAGAAAACTATAGTAAATCATATGTATTTTGTTATGAGTTTCCGAAATGACGTCACGCCGGCCCTAAAAGGCATTTTCGGCCCAGTACTTTCATGCTCACGGTTAAGGAGGACGGACATTTTGCCGAAAGACACTTTGCCGAAAGACATTTTGCCGAAAGACATTTTGCCGAAAGACATTTTGCCGACGGACGTTTTGCCGAACGGACATTTTGCCGAACGGGCATTTTGCCGAATGGACATTTTGCCGAACGGACAGTTTGCAATTGACGAACGTAACGAACATTTTGTTGAAAATAGAGATATCTTATAGAGATATAGAGATGACCGTCGGCAAAATGTCCGTTCGGCAAAATGTATTTCGGCAAAGTGTATTTCGGGCCGTTTCGGCAAAGTGTCTTTCGGCAAAATGTCCGGGTACCACGGTTAAACGCTCTAGGAAAATTCACGATTTATAGATAGATCTAATATCCACTGGCAGTGTGTTCCATAGTTTTGGCCCAACTACCGAAAATGCTCGATATCCATAGGTTTTAAGTTTGTATGGTTGTTCTGTAAGACGCCATGTGTTTGCTGACGATCGAAGTTTTCTTGTTGTTTCATAGAGATATACAGGATTTTGTAAATATTTAGGAGCAATGTTATTTACTATTTTGAAGCACATTAAATTCATCTTAAAGACGTTTCTTTCTTGAACTGGCAACCATGTAGTGCAGATTCCTGAATGTTGGACGTACTGATGTGATCATACTTTCACAAGCAAAGTATGATCACATCGTATCACAAAGTATCATGACGTCTTACATCTGAAGAGTTTGAAATTTTTTTAGAAAGTTAACTGCCTATGACAACAGTGACGTTTGAAACTGGCGGATTTTGGTTTTAAAGTAATTTATCTCGTAAACGACATCGATGACCCCTAAACTTTATTTCATAAAATGATTATCGAGTCATTCTGCAGGTTCGAATGTATACGTTTTTGAACTAACAACTGTTTATAGTTGATGCTTGCTTATAGGTTTGTCATTCTTGTGTAGATGTTTCTTTAACTAATGAAAAGACCACCGGAAAATCCAGAATTCCAGTTCCGGAAGACATCGAACTATCACAGCATTCTGACCACCAAAAGGAAGGATAGATTGGTAGCTACACGATCGGAAATTGCGGTCATAAACTAACAGCTAAAATGAACTAACTTGTCTTAATAGAGCATGCGTAGATTGTACTGAATATTGATGAGGTGAACTACTTAATTATTTCAAGACTTGTTATTTTATTGGGTATAATTTTGAGGTTAAGAAAAGGTTGAAGGCTCAACAACCATATTATACATAGGTAATTGAGGAACAATCAAGAACACTTTAAATTTGCAATTTAAGTCTTATTTTGTTGCAAAAGGTTAAAATAAAGCCAAACAAAACTGAACCCACGATGAAATGCAGTGAATACTCAGTGATTTAGCCATTTCTCTCTGCAATTTCTAATAATTCCACTTGATCCAGGCTATCAACTGGGGCCTGTTGTATCAAAGACTTAATTAATTTTTAACTACCCATGCACCCTCGCAAGAAACTTTTACGAATTTTTCAAGAAACGAAGCGCGCGGCGCTCTCAATTTTCGCTGCCTCGACCCCATAAACCCCTGCGCGACGTGTTCGATGCGGGGCACTACTTCATGCAGACCTTTTATATGGGGACTCATTTGTGAAATCTTTTTATAGCGCCTGGGGACGAGGCAGCAACTGGCCCCTTAATTAATAGTTTGAATGGTAGATGTAATAATTAGTAGATCGAATGATAAAATATGATTATTAATAAATAAAATTGTTTTAAAAGTTTGTTTGAGCTTTCGTCGTCTACAGGGACATCGCGAAGCCATCAACATTAGGGGGGTGTCGTCATATTTTGACCAAGTAGTACAAGTTTTTCCCGAAAATGTTGTCGACGGGGGGGGGGAGGGGGTGATGGAAGGTCAAAACAATTTTTCCGCACTAACATAAGCATAGTCAAAAAAAATTTCCGGGCTAACATAGGCAATTGAACATTTTTCGACTATGATAAGCAAGGCTTCCAATTTTTTCACCGTAAACATAACAAAAGCTTTAAAATTGTTAAAATTGCCAACAATTTCATAACTTTCAGCATCTGACCATTTTTTATTGCAAACTTTGATCAAATTTTTCCGAGTTTTACCTTCAATTTTAAGCAAATATCAATTCCATTTTGACCAACTTTGGGCAAATACCTGTTCTATTTTGACCAACTTTGACCAACGTTTGAATTATTGGCGGTGTGTTACACCCCCCACCACCCCACCCCCCTGTAGCAGGGTTCGTAGCGGTCTTTGAAATCCTTGAAAGATTTGAATTGGAATGCAGGTCTTTGAGGTCTTTGAAAAGTCTTTAAATTGTGCGAAAAAGCGAAGAAAGTCTTTAAAAGTCTTTAAATTCTTATTGAGGAATTGATTATACGAGTTCCTAGCTAATAAAATATGGATTGATTGAATCAAAATTTTCGCAAATATCGAAGAAAATGCGCATTTTAGGATGTGATTTAACGGGACTAATTACTGGGTAAAAATGGTGCTTACGCACTCGTAATTTTTCGACAGCTAATTGCTCTCATAGGTCTTTGAAAAATCTTTGAAAATAGGCAGAAAAAATCTTTGAAATTTCTTGAATTTTTTTTTTTGTTTTGGACTAACCTTGTATAGCGACGTCCCAGGTCGTCAACGACATCATCATGCAGAGACTGTCTGAATTTATAACATTCTTGTACTTGTATTTCAATAAATTCAGACAGACGAAAGCTCAGACAAATTTTTAGAATAATTTTATTTTTCAATGATCAAATTTTAACATTCTTAACTATGCTAATTATAAGTTATACTAGTAACTCAACGGTCTCATTTAAATCAAACCACATTTAGTTGTATTTAAAAAGTGGTAATTTGTATATTGGTTTCTTTTTGCCTATAAAAAAACATTAAAACTTTGCTCTTTGATTTTTGTTAACAGAGATGCCGAGAAAAATACAAAATTGTGGTACTTTTTAGGATATAGAATAAGGGTGTAGTCTTTATTTTATAGATCAATATCCTGAGCCGTCGCGAAGAGGGGTAGGGAAGGGGGAGGTGACAGCAGGTCAAATGTCATTAGAACAACAATGTAAACAACTTGCCGACAAAATCCTTCATTTTGCCGAAAAAATTTTTTCAGAGTGTCACACCCCCACACCTCCCTCCTATTACACGGGCACAAAACAATAAACACTCCAACCTCGGACCCAGGGTCTTTCCTCTTGGGGAACAAAGACCCTGGTAGACGTTGGTCAAGTGATCTGCTAAAATCTAGCAGATTTTTAATTAGCAATCCAAGATCAAGTCAATAAACATTTGATATTTGGATTATTTTGATAGTTTAATTTATAATTTGCATTTTGTATGATTGTCGTAAAGAAAACCAAGATATTTTTTCTGTGTTGGTGTAATGTACTCAGGTGAATATGATGCTTGTGATTTTACTCTGAGTGTATATCCACACCGGGCAAGCTTGAAAAATATGCCTGACCACGGTGGGAATCGAACCTACGACCTTTGGAATACTAGCCCAATGCTCTGCTAACTGAGCTACGCGGTCTGGTCGGTTCGAGTATGTGATATTTCG